AGTGTGGCAAGCGTCATCATTTTGTGGGAAACTGTGAATGTGTTCATGAGTGTGTGGGAATGCGGTCTGCGAGACCTCTTCCACGCGACGCAATGCAGAATGAGTGGCCTGTATACTTGGTGTATCCTCGACTGATGAGTTGAGTTGACTTTGCGAATGAATCATGGCCATCGAATGTTTGTTCTTTGAGAATGCCCGGTGATATTGAGAGAGCGGGAGGAGAAAGTGCGTAAGAACGGGGACGGGGATTTGCAAAGCTGTTTATAGTCAGCCTTTTTCAGACTTGCAGCGCGCTTACAGCGGCTGAAGTTCATGTTATTAACCCAGTACGTGCCTAGATAGCTCCTCTTGCCTAGGGTAGTTTCGAGTTTTCGAAAATTTCGACGCCCCCCACCAAGCCATGACAGGGATCAAGCTACCGGGCAGCTCTCGGGATTCGAAACCCGAAGCAGCATCAGCCTATGATTGTTGTCCAAGTGGCGCTCTCGTGATGGAGACATGGGTGGGAACGAATGACTATTCTACCTGGGGAAAATCAGGACCTCTCCACGCCCTGCGCAGGGTGCTCAGCAGGGAGTCAAGCTACGAAGAGGTTGGCAAGTAAAAGTTTAGTAATTGCTGTACCAATCCTTGACCATCAATCGTCGCCAGAAGTCGTATGTCTCTCTACTATACGCACAGCAGCTCTTCAGAGCAAATGATCGGCGAACAGTCAGGTAATTGTCATATTACTAATCTCTGCCGCTGTCGAATGTGACAAGCCAACCCCGCGCCCTAGGGCGTGGGGGTGTGATCGTATTGACATCTAGCTATCGAATGCAATTCATTTGTTTCTTATGCTGAGACTGCAGAGTTCCACCCCTAGCCGTCGTCACTTAGCACCCGTGCTGTGTCGTTCAAACTTGGATTATGAGTTGAGTAACTTGATCGTGCTTATCTCATCAGACACACTCAACATCTAGTCAGGCATCCCGATGTGATACAATCACCGATACCTCAGCAGTGAATAGCAGGCCCCTTACCCATGCAATGTATGAAGTAAACCATCATGTTCTCCTTGCTAGGATCGAGGAATGTCTCTTTCGACAATCAGACAGAGTTGTTAACTTGAAAGCCCAGTGGGTGCATTTGATCCATTCGCAGTTTTTTTCATGGGAACTAACAAGTTCACCAACGGCTACATCTTCATCTCGGTCAGTCGCCTAGCTTTGTGTTTGGGGTCAGCCCTAACTTAACTCGGACATTCCAGGACCATTATGTGATTGAGAAAGTTTCGCTGCCTGATGGAGGACTGTAATTTCAAAAGGTAAGGGGGAGTCAAAAGCTTCCCCGCCTTACACTCTTCGTCGGGTGAACGTATTTTTCAGTTCATTTACATGGCGCTCTCGCTGACAATATGTCTATGATTCTTCGGTTCTGAGTCTAAAGCATAGAACTACAGTTACCTCTAACAATCAATGCTAACAGTCACAGATTTCACTTCGTATGGACGAATTACTCAGCTCCCTCACACCAAGGGCTCTTCATAGAACCCCTTCTCCCGCAGCACCTGACTCGGATGACAGACATTCAGCGTCAAACATGCCAACAACATCAACGTCGCATCAAACACATAAATAAACACCTCATGACCCTGCAAACTCCCTTGACTCCCCTGGATATACTCCGCCACGCGGTAGATCGACCGGACCATGATGAGTGCACTGACCGCATACAGAACCATCAAAAGTCGTTCCCAAGGCACCGCCAGCCCAATCGACTTCTCCGTCGGGCGTTCGCGGATCCTCCGATGAAAGACGGCGGACACCCCCATGAAGACCCCGAAGAAGACGATCTGCACGAACAGCCCGATGATGATCATCCGCTCGCCCAGCTTGACCTTGCCGGGGGTCTTGGCTTGGGCGAGAATGCCGCCGCCGCCGCTTTGGAACAGAAACGAAAGAACGTCGCCGGTAACGAAGATCCTGGTGAGTTTGGCGGGGCGGATGGGCGCGCGGGTGTCCCCGTCGACCAGGCGGATGATGCGGCCCAGGATCATGTAGACCGACGCCGCAAGGAGAGAGGGTCCCAGGAGGAGAAGGAGGCTTTGGCCTGCGTAGGGGGCGACGGACCAGTTCGGGGTCTGCTTGGCGCTGACGGCGCGGAGAGCGTAGCCTAGGGTTTCGACTATTTGGTTGTTAGGGCCGAGGATTGATCGGACTTTCCGGTGTTGCGGGAAGGAGAAGGAGGCTTACAGGCAATGCCGATGATGAATGGGGTCATGAAGCGACTCCCCGACCGAGTGGCCTGCCAGATATGTCCCACTCCTGTGATTAGGAAGCCGATGGTGAAGATAACGGCTGCCGCGTAGGACGGGTCATAGCGGTACAGAACAAATGAATCGGACATTTTGGAAAAAATGGACGGGGATTTGGGAGAATGAGATTCAAGGCTGTGAGGACTGCATATCTGAGAGTTTCTGATCAACGAGATGGTGCTTATATAGTGTTTGATGAAATATCGTTGAGGTGTCAACTCAACATGGAGTATCAATTCTTGACTCGACAAGGTGATCTATATATGGAAGTGGTTCGGAATGCAGGTACACCATACCTGAATAGGCAAGGTGTACGGCAGTCGAGGTTTAAAGTTTCCAGCCCTCGTTTATCAACTGCCGATCGGAGATTTTAAGCTGCTTTCTGAAACATGTGGAGCCATCCACGGTGAGAATACGACCAGAAGAAAGGAAACAACCGTATCTGGTATAGTGTACGCAAGTTTCTGATCTTTCTGATACCAGCCAAATTTAGCGCGCTCAGGTTGATAGATGAGATGAAGAAAAAGTGACTTCAAGTGCTGGGCGTGGAGCACTGGTTCAGCGTAAGCATAGATCTCTCAAAGTAGGTATAAAAATAAAGTCGAGTCCTATCAAGTAGCATGGTACTCAAATAAAACCCGCTCGCACCAGCCTCCTTCGTCAACTCCTTCCAATGGCTCTCACCAACCTGGCGATTATCGTGATCGTGATCGTCTGCTGTTTAGCCGTCACGGCTCTTGGAGCAGGTCTCGCCTCCTTTTATTCATCGCCGGAGGAGGGCAAATCGGTGTATGAAGCATCGGCCGAACAGCGGGGGTATATGCGATCAATACGACTGCGGGCACTCAATAATCTCGAAGCTACCTTGAGACCAGCGTCTCATCCATGAACGGTCGGATAAAACCCTTACTGCATGTTAGACTATCGCGGCTAATCGAGCAAGCGAGGCGAACAGGTCACGATCTGACGGGCCTACGTCTCTAAAACTCACTCAAGTTCCTTTCTTCTTGCTCAATGCGAGTTTGGATGGCTACAACATACAAGGGCTAGGGAGGAAGTTTTGTGGGCATAGCAGGAACTACGGGAACCGCTACGGGACCATTTTCTGCGACAGTATTTAATAAAGCCGGTACCCCCGACAACCCGACCCCATCATTTCCATCTCTCACACCAATTTTCCGCAACTGGCCCATCCTCTAGCAGACCTATTTATTGCCTACGGTTCTAAATTCTCCTCTATCATAGCTTGAATCTCGTTGATATCCTGATTATTTCTTCTGTCTCCCGACTTGAGCTCATTCCATATGCCATCGCGTCGTGCCCATAGTAAATCCCGGCATGGCTGTCTGCAATGCAAGCAGCGACGAGTGAAGGTAAGCTACAGTACGATAGTCACCACAACAACCGACATTTCGAAGTCTGCGACGTCTACAGAGCTAATATCCCACTCACTGATTAGTGCGATGAGCACCAACCAATCTGCTTGCGATGCAAAACCAAACGTCTACCCTGTAGTTATCGAGCAATGTTGACAGCCTCTTCCTCCACCCCCCCCGAAACCGGAACCGCGAGCACAGCCACTACCTTACCGGAGACGACCACTACGATCCCCACGCAACCACCACTCCCCTGCGAGGCTGAGCCCTCCCTCAACCCCCAGGATCTAGAACTAATGGTGCAATGGTGCACGCACACGTATGCGACCCTTTCTCGAAACCACGCCGTGGAATGGATCTGGAAATCTGTCATCCCCCGAAGGGCGGTCCACGATCCCGCGCTGATGCACGGCATCCTCGCCCTCTCCGCACTGCACCTGGCATTCCTCCACACCCATCCCCGGCGCAAGGACTACCTCGACATCGCGCAGTGGCATCACCACAAATCCATCTCCGGCGTCCGCAACATCGAGGCTCTCAGCGAGGCCAACGCCAGCGCAGCCTACGCCCTCTCCAACATCATCATCATCTTCACCTTTGCGCTGCCTCTGCTCAGTGGCAATAGCGGCGGAGGGGAAGGGCAGCCCTCGACCCCGTACGACGAATTACTCCAGATCTTCCATATGAGCCGTGCCTCGCTGAAGATCTTAGTCGCAGTCTCCGAATGGGTGCAAGCAAGCGACCTAGCGATCCTCGCCACGGCCGCCCCGGTCGGGCAATCGAGCACCGATACTCGGGCGTCCACGTTGCCAGCGTTCCTGGACGCGGCCCTCCGAGAACTTGCCTTGCTGAATGGCCGCCTGGGGGAGGATAATTCGCATCATCCCAGCGAAGTGTATGGGCCAGTCATCCGCCAACTCCGGGTGGCATTTGAAAGTACCCCCAGCGAGACTAAGGATGGGATCATCACAGCGCTCTTCTGGTGGATCTTTGGTCTTTCATCGGAGTTCTTGGATCTTCTGGGCGAGAGGGAGCCCTTTGCGATGGTAATTCTGGCCATGTTCTGTACGTTAATGCACCGCCTGCGCGGGCAGTGGTGGATGGACAATTGGGCGGAGAAGGTGGCCCGGGATATCCGTGGATCCTTGGGTCCCTCGCTAGCGAGCTTTGTTCCCTGGGGACTCTGTTTTGAAGACCGATGATGAGTTTGACTAGGCAACATTATCATGGTGGGTCCTGAAATTGAGAGCTATGTAGGATTGATTACGCTGCGGTAATAACGGGGCGTATCACCGATATCGCCGACCTGCCTCAGGCACCAATCTTACCCTTCACAACTTCGGACGCCAAATCCCGGGCTCGGATCTTCGCACCGAACAACCACCAAACCCGAACAAGTGAATTCTTTCTGACTCAGGGTCCTTGTCTTTTGATTTGGCCAGGATCGAATAATAATGTCCAACGAGCCGGAAAGTAAAGCTTTGACCGCCGCCACCATGCCTCCGGATAGCTGGCTTGGCATACTGGAGCCATCGCTAAGACGCAGATTACAAAACCGACTCAACCAGCGTGCGCGACGTAAGTACTCGCTGATCCGTAGGCATGAGTACCGTGGACATGATTCCTGTTGAGATGATCCAGTCTTACAAAACACGCAGGGCGTCGTATTCGAGAGTCTCAGTCAGGGAGTTGCGCTGATGAACACCCGCCAACGCTTGCCCTTCGACCAGCCGATCTTGTGCAGTTACTCCTGGGCATAACACAGGACTTGCACATTCTAGGTCCAGACTCCCGCAACACTGCGCAGAAGCTGCACCAACTGGAGACGGCAGCCATGGCTCTGGCGTCTGCTGCTTGTGGCTCTCCGGTTGAAAGCCTGCGCCTTGGAGTCACGCGGCTTAATACGCTGCGAGCGATGCATACCAACCTCACGGTTCTAGGCTATGGCGAGCAAGACACGCATGACGATGCTCAATCGGTATTCACACTACAAGGGCCTGCCTTTCCGTTGAGTCAAGCCTACCCACAGAGGCAGCTCCCACCAGCATTAGAGCCAACGGCCATTCAGCGCCGCGTGCCGCATCATCCATGGCTGGACCTGTTTCCTTTCCCACATCTGCGCGAGACCCTAATTCTTGCGCAGGACTGCATCGATGAGGACCAGCTGTGCCACGATATGTGTGGTCGTGGTCTGGAGGCGACGGGGATTCTGGTGTGGACGGACCCGTGGGATCCCACGGGGTGGGAGGTCACCGAGGCCTTCCTGTCGGTATGGGGTTGGACGGTTCGTGATTGCCATGACCTTCTCCGTTCGACCAATATGTGGAGAGCCCGCCGGGGAGAGAAACGTCTACGGTTCACACGGGCGGAGGGTGGAAACGAACGCTCTCCGGTACACGGATTGTGCCCGAATTAGGATACGAATACTTCTTTTCGTGGGTTGTGCTCTGGTACGAGATTACTTACGCGCCACAAAGATGCGCAGCCGGCTCCGCGCTCGGTATACACACAATACACATATTTCAGCTGTGCTCCATGAATCTGGCTATACATACCAGTTTCATCTCACGACTATGCTCCCGCTGTTGAAAGCCGCCTCTTTACAGCCCTTTACTCACACTGAAAAGGACAATCCCATCAAACAGTAACCATTCTCGGAAAACACCATCTATCCAGCGAGGGTTCTCAGCTAAATGTCGTGATAGATGGAGATCATCTGCTGAATTCACGAGCTGAGGACGTCCGCGTGTATATAAATAGCCCTACGAGACGCACTGATTACTCGAGCAGGGTCGACCACCTACAGTCGGATCACACATATTATGGCTCCTCTCGACAGTCGGAGCACACACGTTCAGGCTCCCCATACTCTGGACAATCTCCCACTCGAGCTCTTCTGGCAGATCACCGAGTTTCTGGACGACGAATCTCTTGGTGCTTTACGGTGCGTGTCCAAGGCACTCGGAGCCAAAACCAAGACATTCTGGCTATGCAGCCGCGTGCACCCGCTCTCCATCCATATCGACCCGGAAGATCCAGGACGCGTGCGCATCCGGCCCGAGAAACCATACGCCGCGCGTCGCGCCCTGCCCAAGCAGTACCGGGCACTGCAATGCGCGCGGCAGCTGATCCTCGAAACCTACGAGCGCAGCCGGCAGATCCAAAGTGCCTCCGAGGCCAGTATGGTCACGCTGTGCCGGCTCCTGAGTGACGCTTCGGCCCTGCAACCGCTCACGCTTCAGGCTTTGACCCTCTGCGCGCGGGATCCCCGCGAGCAGTGGCTTGGCTACCTTGACTGTCACCGGACCGTTCGTACCAATCCATTCTACACCGCGGGGCTCCGCGCCAAGTTCTCCACCCACTGGAGCCAGCTCACGCAGCTGATCGTTCACATGCCCGGCTCGTCGGCCGCCGAGGGGACGCTGAATGCCCTGGTGGGGTGGTGCATCCTGCCGCATGCGCCGCGGCTCGAGGACTTCCGGTTCTTCTGCGAGCCCCGCCACCGCGACCGCACACCGCACGGGAGCATGGTCGCCAAACTGGCGGCGTTGAACCCCCGGCCAAGGCTGAAGCGGCTGGAGATCAATTTTCGCTTCTTCGGGTATTACGACCACCACGTCATGGACGTGCTGAAGGCCTACGGGCGCACGCTGGAGACGGTCACCGTCATGAACCCGGCGCAGAACATCCCTCGGCCCAACTGCATCCTCGATCAGCTCCAGGCCGCCTGTCCTGTCCTGGCGCAGCTGCTGGTGTGTGTTGTTGGGGGCGAAGAGGTGTGGAGCGCACTGTCTGGCCCCGCGGAGCTGTATGAGGAGCGGCCGCGGGGCGACGATGGCTGGCTCGAATGGGTCCGCGTGGATGGCTCGGCCGAGTGGCAAGACGAAATCACGGATGTCATTTCGCTGTGATCTGGGGATCCCCCTGTACCGAGTATTAGGGGGCGTGCTGTTGTTCCGGGTCGGTATACTTCCTGGATTGCATCCGCACATCGTTCCACCTGGTTTCCTTCCGCTTAGACTTAGTTTCAAGAAGTTTTTATTAGTATGCTTTCATCACCATAACCACCTGAATATCGCTGAACCGTGCTTCACTCTTTCACTCGCACGGTCTTTGGTTCTCATGCGACGACATCGACTCCGTTTCCCTTGAATAGAAGAGCATCATAGAACCGAGCGAGGCCATCTCTCAAATTACGCCCTACTCTTCAAATAAGAGAGTTTGATTCGGAGAAGACCCGCCTACGTATTTTCTGACAACCAACTCCTTCTTAGCCCTACCTCACACGGGTAACAAACCCGCTTTGCTCTTACAGCAAGGTAGTAAGTAGATCAGCCCGTCCGAGTCTGCAGATACACACACCGAACGGCCCCGTCGAATTGAGCTCCAGCCCTAACCTACTAGCTTATGACACTATCCCCATCCGCCCCTACCCCACCACTACACCCCCACCTATTCTGGCGTGGTTTGGAAGCACCCCAATACCTGTGTAGGAGATATGTTGACCGTGGTAGCTATCGATCATCACGAATTACGGATACAAGATAGTGTACCCAGTATAATAGCCTGACTACCAGGCGAGAAGAGAATCGGCCAAGACGCACAACACAATCAATCTGGAGACAACGACAATGACACGAATCACAACAACAGAAACAATGGAGATGACAGAGATAATAAGAACAAGAACAATGATAATAATAACAACAAAACAAGCAAAGCTCACCGCCACAACAACAACAAGAAGAACAAGCACGACCATAGTTGTATATAATCGATCATCAAATAGATCCACAGATAGATTTAAACCATGAATATATGGAATCAACGCCGGTAGAGACGTATCTTCACTCAGCTCAATACATTCTAGAATACATTCCCCCCTCCCCTCCTCTCGTCTCTTCTAAACGCCCCCAACAGCTCGTAATCTTACAACCACCCTCCTACCCACTACCATCCAACCCTGCAACAAACAAAAAAGCAAGGAAAAATTAGGAAAATGAAGAGCAAAGGACAAAGAAGAACCAATAACCCCTTACCCTCACACCGCCAAAACATCTACCTACCGAAATCCCCCTCTATCCCCGATCACGCCGTACTCGACGCAGCAGCAACAGCAGCAGCAGCCACACCCGTCGACGAGGCGACGTACTCGCAGGCGCTGGCCTCGTCGTAGACGGAGGCAAGCGAGATCAACGAGGAGTAGTACGCGTAGAGGGCGGAGTCGACGGAGACAGAGGAGGAGGGGGAGGGGATGGCCGAGGAGGAGGTGATGGAGAGGTGCGCGGAGGAGAAGGTGGTCGTGGCTGGCGTGATGGTGGATTTGGAGGAGGAGGTGAGGGTGTGTGCTGCGCTGCCGGAGGGGGCGATGGTGTGTGTTGTGGTTGTTGTGCCGGGCTGGACGATGGCGGAGGAGGCCGAGTGTGGGTTTGGGTTGGTGGTGTGGGTGGTGACGGCGCTGGTGGAGGGGTTGGGGGTGGTGGTTGTGGTTGTGGATTTTATTGCGGTGGAGGTGGTGGGTTTGGTTGTTGAGGTTGTTGAGGTTATGGCTGTGGAGGTGGTGGGGTTGGTGGTTGTTGTTGTTGTTGTTGGTGAGATTAGGGCTTTGGTGCTTGTGCTTGTGCTTGTGCTGGTGCTGGTGCTGCTGGTGCTGCTGGTGCTGGGAGTAGGGTGGGTGGTTGTTGTAGAAGAGGTTGAGGTGGTAGTTGAAGAAGTGGTAGGCTTGGTTGTGGTTGTGGTTGTGGTTGAAGATGGAGCTGAAGTCGTAGTTGAAGTTGTGGTTGATGTAGTAGTGGTGGTGGTAGTGGTGGCCTTGGTCGTAGTTGTTGTTGTAGTGGTAGTTGTAGGGGCATGGGTAGTGGTCGTCGTCGCTTTGGTTGTGGTGGCAGCCACTTGCTTGGTGGTCGTCTTCTTGCTGGACTTCCCTCCAATCCCGAACAGGGCGGAGGCCAGCTGAACCACCAGTAGGAGCACAACGAGGAATCTCATGATGAATATTGCAAGAATTCAAGAAGCTAATGAGGGACTGGAATGAGTGACTATAGGCGAGAGGCTGCTGGGTCGACCAAGAACGTTGAGCGGGAGGAGCTCTTATATCTTTCCCGCTATTCTGGGAATCTTCAGCCAGTGATGCTCGCCCATCCTAGTCATTCTCACCTCCGGCTCCAGAATCTATGGCCCCCAATAAAAAGGAGTCGAACCGAAGCATTCAACTACTTGAGGCTCTTGATCGTACCTGCATGGGGGCTCTCGGTCCTGTCAGCACGGGAAGACATGGAATTGTCGTATATGGCTTGGCCCCCACCGCTAAGAGCCAAGTTTAGACTCCCAAACGCGCTTCCGTGATTATGAGGCCGAAGGATCGCCCCAACTTAGGATCAAATGAGGGCGCGACTCCTCTGCATGGCGTGATGTCGAGTCGTGGCTGAAACAGCATCTCACGGTTCAGCCCATGCACCAGCCGTTCTCGACTTGAATTGCCCTGGCTGCCCCAGGAACACGATAGACGTGCCCAAAAAGGGAATCAACCCTCTGATTTAGGAATCCTTCTGCTAGCGCTGTCGATCTAGTCATAGCGACTGGAACAGAGGATGGAAACCGCCCCAACTCCATGACCCCGAGATGGCGATCTATCGCATTTCAGGGGCCGGTGTGATTCATGGCCTGTGAAGAGCGATCAGCCCCGAGATACCCGAGATGCAGGTGCTATAAAGTCGTTCAAGGGACGAAGCAATTACATCCCCTGATAGCAAGCTTGAGATCCTTTCCTCACCCATACACTCATTTGTTGTTTGCAGTCAATCACGCCTCAGTCCCTCGTTTTGATTCCTCGCATCGGCAAGCAGTATCGTCAACTGCCACCACACTCATTGATCCCATCCTTCGAGCATCATTCCCACGATGCGTTCCTACAATCAGCTTTCCACCCGCCTGCTAGCCCTAGCGCTCGCCGCCCTCTTCTTCCTCCTCCAGCTCACCCACGCCCTCCCTGTAACCACCTCCGATCTCACCCCCGTCCACCCCGAGAACGCCCTCACCAGAAGAGGCTGCATCCCCAGCAAACCCAGCAAGCCCGCCAGCAACCCCCCCAAGACAAACACCTACACCTTCAGCATGGACACCCTCAACCAAGCGATCAGCAGCCAGAGCACCTACCCGCTGGACAGCAACACCTGCCTCTTCTACCTCGGGCTCGGCGGCGCCACGGGCCAGACCCTGGCGCAGGACTGGTGGACGCAGAACAAGCCCGCCAGCGCGGCCAGCCAGATGAGCATCGTCTGGGGCAACGTGCTGGAGCAGTATTATCACAGCGCGATGCTGTCGGCCAACCTGGTCGAGACGCTGCCGGACCCGGCCAACCCGGCCCAGCAGATCAACGCCCAGACGGTCTGGGCATCCCTGCTGTCCCAGGCGATGGGCGAGAGCTGTACCGGCACCGTCTACTTCTTCACGCCCGAGGCCAACGACGGCACCAACCCCGTAACCAACGTGTGGAATGTGTACGAGTATCCCGCTCTGACCCGGAACTCCAAGGTGCAGCAGATCATCAAGGTCGATCCCAACACCAACAAGCAGGAGGTGATGTGGACCAAGGGTGATGCGGTGTACGGGCCCGTGCCGCCGGGCACGGGGTACTCCCAGGTGAAGACCTTGGCCAAGGCGGAGTATCCTACTCTGAGGTAGATTTCTGGTCTTAGCGTTGAGAAAGAATGAGACTAGGAAAGGGGGGAAGCTGTATACAGGATTAAGGAGGGGAAGAAGGCTTTTATGAGACTTTCTAGATGTTGTAATTATCATGTATTTATAGGTGACAACGGAAGGGACGTTTAGAAGCAGCATACCCTGTATTTGTTTGATCGTTGGTGCTTCAACCTTGTTTCGTATGTATAGACCGATCCAAGGATGCTGGACTAGCACTTCTCGCACTGCAAATCAACAGTCTCGACAGTTGGCAGCACGAAATCTTGGAGATCAAGGCCTAGAGTCTGAGAATACCGGAAGTGCAGCCTCAAAGTTCTCAACCGGGCCAACCGCGGCAGCAACTTCGTCAACTCGACGGCCACCTCATCGGTCACCTGGCCGTCGCTCCAGATCTCCAGTTTCAGCAAGGTATCCGCATGCGTATGCAGTAGCGCATGGATCATTGCCGCCGTCAGGAAGTGGGACTCAAAGTGTTGATCGCGCAAGCTCGTGATCGCGAACCCCTGCAGCGGATGCATCTCCCGCACCACCTCCGGCGTCACGGCGACAAGCGGAGCGAGGCGGGACACATCCTTGTCGACCACGCGGGCCAGCAGCGTGTTCATTTCGTTCAGCAGCGTCAAGCTTTGAAGGTGTCTGAGGGCCCGGAATATAGCGATGGTGTCTGTTTCCCTGTCCTCGTCGTCGTTGTTGTCCGAGGACGCGGCGTACCCTGAGATTGTCAGGTGATGCAGCTCGGCGGCGAACCAACGCAGAAAGTCTAAGGGAACGAAGTCGATGTCCAGCTCCAGTTTCTGGATCTGCGGCATGCGGGTCCCCAGGGTGGTCAGGAGCAGACGCTGGTCGGCGAGGAACTGGGGCGAGCTGGGGCGCGCGACGTTCTGCATGACGAAGATCCCAAAGTCGCGGACCCCACTCAGCGCGGCCAGTGCTTCTGCGACCACGGACGCGGGTAGAGGATCCACGGAGGTGGGTGAGCGGGTTGAGGGCGTCGAGACGATGCTTTGGTACATCTCTTGCCACAATGTGGATGGCTTCGGCGCCGGCGCGGCGAACAACGCGCTGCCCACAATGCAATTGACGTGGATGGATCGGACCAGAGGTAGCAGATGCGCCGGGCTTTGCTGGAGCCATGTTACGAGATGATCCAGCCTCTCGAAGAAGCGTCTCTTGCGCAACACGACGGAGAGTGCTTCCGCCCGCACTTGGCGGCAGACGCGGAGAAGGCTGTGCGGGGGCACGGCGCGGTTCAACGACAGAGCATAGATCTGCAATCGCAGTTCTACCGGGAGACGGAAAAGGAGGGGGCACATCTCGGTGGATGCGCCCATGATGATAGGGAGAGAGAGTCTAGAGTTGAATAATACTGGTGAGCAAAGAGGTTGATCAAAGCAAATTGACAAAGTGTAAAAGGAGAAGAGAGTTGGGAGGTGAAGGTGAGATTTGGTGGGGGCGGAAACCACTTTAGTCATTATACATTATAAGTATGACATGAATTCTATATGACAGTGATCATGATTCCAGCTACCTCAGTCCGATAGTAGTAAGCAGAAAATTTTCCAGGTCCAGAAGCACCTGACTATCCACTGCCCAGGGCATATATGGTATCCTCTCCCAAAACACTACGGTACTGTACTCCAACCCCATGCTCACCAGCCTTTACTCATCTGCTGCATGGTACATAAACCTCAACAACCACACCCACAACTCGGACAATTCCTTCCACACGCATACATCGTCCCAGTGCCACAATTCTGATACCGACTGCAGGTATACCAAGCCCCGGCCCCACCGCCCTTGGCCGTCCAGCACCACTCGCCATTGCTACCGCAGACCTTCCAGCAGTATCCCTTCGAGCACCCGTACGGCGCATCCCTGTAACAGGCCTGTGGCTCGGAAGTGTTGAGCAACTTAGGCTCTGAGCGTGCCTCCCCTGAAGCCGTATTGCCTGCCAAGGCCTGGACATCCACGGGGTCAAGAGGTGCCAGTGATGCACTCTCAAGGTACCGGTTGCGGCCGAGTGGATGCTCTCTGCACTTGCGGACGTCGCTGGGAAGGACGCCTTCGGGGAGATCCGCTGCAGGGATGACCATGACGCCTAGGTCGCCGCATTCGATGGCGGGGTCATTGTTGCCTGTCGAGGTTGGGGAGATGGTTAGGGCGGAGGTGAGAACCACTAGTATGCTGAGCAAGGCAGCTGAGAATTTCATGGTGCAGCGAGGTCTTTGAGGGCGCAGATGCCAGTGGAACTTGATAAAGTATTGGTTGGGGTGTTCAAGAGCAATGGCAGTAGTAGTGTCTTTTAGCTGAACAATGGAACTGGGAATATTTTAGGCTTGCTCACTGCTCATACCTATAGGGTTCGCTCATTATATGGGGCATAGCACTTGATTTTATACCTCTTCTTGCATGAGGGGCGGTGTCAGCTTTAACCGTTATCAGCCTCTCGTTACATTCATCCCAACCATGTCATGGATTTGTCGAGAGCACAGCATTGATATAGAATCGCGGCAGTAAGGTGTAATAGAAGTCACCTGCCCATCTCTTGTAGGTGAAATGGTTGCAGAATTGTTTCAAACAAGGGCTAGGAATAGCTCACGTGATAAAGAACACCCTCCCGAGGGACCAACTCGATGGCTGTGGGCTTACCAGAAGTGGCAAGTGCTGATATGACTTGCAGTGAATCATATCCATGTCCCTTACAAGCTTCACTGTGCGAGCCAAGGCATGCTTAATTGGTAGTACAGACCAGGTACCTTACTGCCAGTCACTGTTCGGGGATGGCAGCCATAGGTTGAGCGGGATGGACCCTTGTCTGAGTATTACATCCCCAGGCAGGGACATATGTCCGCACACATTCACTATACCAACCTTTTCATGTAGTACACGTAGCACTTATCCATGGGTAGCAGCCAGGGGGACGGGGTTTTTCTCGGCGCATTCATGATCCGACCACATTTGTCTCCCTGATCTACGAGCACACGTATCCCACAGATGATATTGAGGCTCGTATGAGTACCTTGACATCTATTCGCATATCGTCTCACCGATAGTGGGATCGCAACCGCACGTACTCCCATTGGCACCTGGCCAGCTTGTCAAGACGACCTTGGGCAAGCTGTCGCGTACCAAAATTCGCCGGGCACTCGAACAAGGCCGATACCACACCCAACAACAGACCAACAATGAACTTATCCAATCCTACCAGAGTATCAACGTTAGTCCGCCACAGAATAAGACGGAGGAGGCACTAGTGGGATTACTTCACGAGCTCTTCTTTGATCTGCCGGAAATAACTACTGATCACGCCATCCTCAACATGGGTATCAGCTCCGTCGATCTGATCGGGCTCAAGCGCGCGATTGAACGCCGCTTTCAGATAGCAGAAGTCCCCATGGTCATGCTGCTCACCAACAACACAATACAGTCACTATCGTCCGCAATTCGATCTTTGCGCCACAACGCCTGCAAAGCCTCCTGCGAGACATATCAGCCTATAGTCACTTTGCAGCCGCAAGGGTCAGAAGTGCCGCTTTGGCTATTTCACCCGGGCATAGGCGAGATTTTAGTCTTCCTCGGGTTGGTCCAGTACTTCCCCGACCGGCCGATCTACGCAATGCGAGCACGGGGATTCAGCCCGGACGAGGAGCCATTCGCGCACTTCTCCGACGTATTGAGCACCTACTATCGGGCGTTGAAGGCGCAGCAGCCCGATGGACCCTACGCTCTTGCAGGCTACTCCTACGGCAGCATGATCGCGTTTGAATTGAGCAAAATGCTCGAAGCAAACGGGGACCAGGTCCGGTTTCTGGGGTGCTTCAACCTGCCACCCCACATCCAAAACCGGATGCAGACCCTAGATTGGACGGCCGGGGTGCTGCATATCGCCCACTTCTGTGGCGTCTTGACCGAGCAGCAGTCTGAGGCTATGGCGGATGATCTGCGCGCGCTGACCCCAGCCGAACAGGTCTCTCGGGTGCTCGCGGAAGGATGCACTCAACGATGCGAGGAGCTAGCTCTAACCCACGAGTCGCTACTCACCTGGACAAATGTAGCATGGTCACTGCAAAAGGTTGGGTGGGGGTACTATCCGACCGGCAGCGTGACAAGTACGGATGTTTTCTACTGCCAGCCGCTGAAGGTGGTAGCGCGGACACGCGAGGAGTATCGCAACACGAAGCTCAATCATTGGGTCAATTTTGTGAGAGAGGATGTTCGCTACCACGAGGTCGACGGTGAGCATTACACGATGGTTGGGCCAGAGCACGTAGCGCGCTTCCAACTCACGTTGAAGAAGGCATTGGTTGCGCGGGGTTTGTAGGGTTGCCTCCTCCTGCACGCAGGTAGAGAAACAGAAGATCATTTCCAACAGCACTAGTGCAGTTACAGTACCTGTCCAACGCTTATCATTATCATTTGTTTGCTTCTTGTTTGCTTGCTGTGCCACTATGTCGAGGAGCTTTGCAGTAGCTCCAATTTGACTTGGTTCAGAACCTGGTTCTAGTCTGTATTGGGCAAAAGCAAGTTCAGGAGACAAAGAAAATGGAATTAGAAAGAAGTTAAAAAAAAAGTGAGGACATGTCCGCGGCAATCTTGTCCCTTTCCTTGAGCCTCTCTCTTCTCGACTCTCTCCCCACGAAGCCTATTTTTCACTCATTTCCAAGCACTTTTCTCCCCCCCCCCCCAAATCAATCTTCCTCGGCAACACTCATCAACCATCCTACAGAAACCATCATGGCATTGCAAAGTCTCTCTACACTCCAGCTCTTCCAGCTGGCTACCGTGGGGCTCATAATCTATGAGGCTAGCTGGATCATATACTGTCGATTCTTTCATCCTCTACACTCGATTCCCGGGCCTTCCTTAGCCTCAGTTAGCCGGATATGGATCGTCTATCATACTGCCACAGGGCGGATGGAGCACACTCAACGTGCCCTTCACAAAAGAGATATGGTGAGTTTCCTTGCTGTCCACCGGATGTGTCATCAACGAGCATCTGACTTCGACTCTAGGCTACATGGTTCGGATAGCACCCGACGAGGTGGCCTGCTCCGATCCACAGGCTATCAAGGTCATATATAGCACGAAACGAGACTATGCCAAGGTTAGAGCACAACAAAGCCAACATCCAGACTCCATCGTCTCGTGAACTAAGCTTCTGGGGGTATGGGGGGTGGTGTGTTACTGTACACCATGCAGAGCGAGTTCTACGACATCTGGGCGGCGCCGAATGAAGTCGGATACGCGGGCCATTTCGCCACCCGCGATGAGAAAGTCCACTCCAAGCGGCGGCGGATCGTCAATCAAGTCTACTCGATGAGCAGCATTCTGGAATCCGAGCCAGAAATCGATGACTGCACGCGAGTCTTCATCGAGGCCACGCGCACGTTTGCCCAGCAGAAGACTGCGGTCGATCTGGGCCCATGGCTGACCAAGTGCGTATCCCTCCCTCCTGGCAAGAGAGAATTGGGGGGAAGAAGTTGTTCCGCAGTGAGAGAGAGAGAGAGAGAGAGAACCTACTCATGTAAGAGTTTAGGTATGCCTTCGATGTGCTTGGAGAGCTTTTCTATGGTCGCATGTTTGGGATGATGCGGGAGAATCGTGACCTCCACGACATCGGGCGGGCGGTCGACGCGATGCTCCCGGCCTTTGCTGTCGGCGGCACCCTCCCCTCGTACCTCCAGCAAGCATTTCTCATCTCAACCTATCTCCTGTCAAATTCTCTCCGGGATGCGGTGACCGCCTCAAAGATGGTGGAGACCGTCTCGATCCAAGCGGTGGAGCAACGAATTCGCGAGCTCAAGGACAAGGACAACCAGTTGAACCGCAAACATGACATGCTCCGCAAGATGCTGGAGATCAGCGACGGGCCCCGCGGCCCAGCCCTCAACTTCACCCATAAGCATATCCATGTTGAATCGCACAGTTCTCTGTATAGTGCCCTGATCCCCTTCTTGTCCTCTCTCTCAAACTATTGATTTCTGTTTTCGGTCCCCCCGTGCAAAGCTGTTGAAATCTTCTATCCCGCTTCGTACCTAATCTCTTCTCTCACATTTTGCAATTCAGATTCGCCGGGGCCGACACCACCTCCATCGCCATGCTCAGTACCCTATACTACCTCATGCGGGACCCGCGCGTCTACACCAAGCTACAGCAAGAGATCGACTCCACCTTTGCCTCCGGCAGGATATCCGACCCCGTCTCTTACCAAGAGGCCACCACCCAGCTCCCTTACTTCCGGGCGTGCGTCGAGGAAGCGATGCGCCTGCACCCGGGCGTGGGGCTCACCGGGCCTCGGATTGTGCCGCGAGGCGGGGTGACCCTTGCCTCCGACGTCTATATCCCCGCCGGCTACCGCGTGGGCGTCAACGCCGCCGTGGTGCAGTACGACCGCGACGTGTTCGGGCCGGACGCGGACCAGTACAACCCGGACCGCTGGTTGGATCGAGACCCGGTGCCGATGGAGCGGGCGATGTTTGTTTTCGGGCATGGCGCGAGGACATGCATTGGGAAGAATGTGAGTGTTGGGCTAGTTTTTCTTTTCTTTTTTTTTTTTGGCCTGTTTTGTGGAGTTTTATGAGAATTGAAGGGAAGCCGGAGCCGGGCTGAACTGTAGATTGCAGATTGCTCTTTGCGAGATCTACAAGTTGCTACCGGTACTTCTGTGGAAGTTTCAAGTACGTCTGGTCGAGCCGGAAAAGGAGTGGACGACGAAGAATTTCTGGTTTAATAAGCCGGTAGGAGTCAGGGTTCTTTTTGAAGAGAGGAGGGGTCTTTCCTCCTTGCCTTGATGCCTACTCAGAGCTTGGGACCTTGAAATGCGCACGGGGGAGTGAAAGGCTTTTTTCTATTTCTTCACTCAGAGCAGATAATAGCTCTGAGGCGATAAGGCGCATGCAGATGGTAACGATAGTCTTTCTGAGCAATGAAGCTGGGGGGAGGCTGAGGGGCTGGCTGCAGCTCCGAGAACGCATAATGTTTCGTTAGATGGATGCAGCGCAAAACCCAAGTAACTCAACATATCCTGCCATAGTAGCACCCCTGTCCTGATCCTAAAACGTGACCCCATCGCGAACCGCGCCTCCCCCCCTCCCGGGGGCCCAGCCAACCGGCGCGCAAGCTCACGCAGCAGCCGCGTACCGTACCCCCATCCCATCCCTTGCCCCGGAACGCAGGGCGCGAGTAGAGGCTCGCGATGCGATGCCGTAGCCTAGGGAGGATTTCGTGGAGGTTACTGACCCAGTAGCGGTGCGGGGCGACGAGGGGCGCGGCGGGGGTGGGGGTGGGATACAGGTGGACCGGGGGCAAGGGTCTTAATAGTACGGAGCACTGGGCCTACGTTGTCACTTCCGTGCCGCCCCCACCGGCTAGTTATGCGTGGCGCAGACTTAATGGGGTGTACTATGGATTCTTAGTCTGTTATCGAAGCAGCGTGGGACAAGTGGACTGTGCTGCACTTAGTTCTACGAGGAGAATGGCGATCGGGTGCAGATGTAAGCCTGGGATGTAGTCGTGTGCCATTTCGGAATGTGTCTATGGACCGCGGTGTGCTAGCTAAGCAGCCCACTGGACTTGAGATTAAGTAGGAGGATTGATTGATCGCTGAGGACAACGGTCCGTAAGCAGGGCTAGCTAGACAATTCACAAGAGGTGGCCGGACAGAGGGAAAGAGTCAAGTCTAGAAGGATAAATATGGGCCCGTCACCCCCGAACTTTCCGGTAACTGGGCGGACTCCAGGACCGCATGATCAGTTTCCCGGCCCAGACAGGCACGACCGCCACGGCGACAACAGCGACGACGCGCCAGAGCCAATCCAGGGTGATGATGTACGCGAGATCGAAGTAGTCGCCCAGGAAGGGGACGCTCGCGGCGTAGACCAGGGCGGTGCCGATGATCGAGAAAATCATGAAAGGGTGCCACGTGGTGATGGCGATGGCAACCATCAGAAGTTCGTTGATGACCAGCGCGGTGAACGAGACGCTGATGAGACGAGGGCCCGTGATCGTGTCGAGGAGGATCTGGGACAAGCCCTGAATCACCGCCCCTTGAAAGACGGATACAAAGACCCAGGTGAAAAAGGAGCGGTAGCTGAGGCTGCGCCCCGTTTTGAGTTCTTTATATAATTCCGGGTAGAGGTTGGCCAGTTCTTCATCGACATCCCGGTCGAAGACGAGTGAGAAAACTGGCCCGCTGGTGTAGATCGTCGCATACCCCACCATGAGCCAGTTGATAAAGAGACCCTTGGGATCGAAATGGCTGGCGATGCTATACATGGTCTGGCAGGCGCTGATGATGATCCCACGGTGCATGATGAACTGCGCCAGCTTGGCGGATCGTTTATACGAGTTGCGCCCGTGCCAGACCAGAAGCTTAGTGAGGTGGTGGAACTGCGTGATGCTGAAATCCGCAGCAAGAGAGGCCTGTCGGCCTTCTTTGCCCACGATACCAATACCCACATCCGCAGCTTGGATCATGGAGACATCGTTACCACCGTCACCAATGCAGCAGACACGCTTCTTGGTGTGGTGGCGGATGAGGTCGGCGACTTCAGCCTTCTGAGTCGGAGAGCAGCGGCAAGCAATAACGGCGGGAAGGAGCACGGCGACAGAAATGAAGGATGAGCGGAACTGACTCAGCATGAGAGCAAGGGACTCGCCGTCAATGAGGAGGCAACAGTCGGTCTTGTTGCGCAGGAAATCCAGGGCTTCTTGAGCCGTAGACTTATCTTTGACCTTGGCGACAGTGTGGATATACTGTCCACGAGCGACTAATTTGGCGGAAATCGCGACGCAGCGTGCGGTTTCGACCTTGTCTCCTGTCAACATCCAGATCTTCACTCCAGCGTTGCGGAGAAGCTCCAAGGAGGGCTTGACGTCCCTCTGGAGACGGTCCTCCACACCAGTCACCCCGAGAAGCTCTAGATCCCGTTCCAGGTACTCGCCAATCACCTTGGCCATACCTGCATCTCTCCCTTGTAGGGCGAGCGACGCTTGTCTGTACTTTGCAGTGAACTCTGCGTACTGTTGCTCGGACAATCGCCTCCTTCCCACCACCAAAGTCCGCAGGCCCTCACGAGCCATATTGGCGGTTTCTTCATCAAGCCAATCGTTAGCAGCGACAATCGTGGTCATGACGGTGTCTGCACCCTTCTGATAGAACCAGATCTCGTTTTCGTTCTTGGATGAGTCCAAAATGCTTTCATCGGTCTCGAATTGAACGATGATCCCCATCCGCTTGCTTTCGGACGTAAACGGAAACAATTCGAGAATCCGAGCACGCACAACAACGTTGCCGGTGTGAGTAGACTCAAGAACCATGGTCTGTCGATCGCGGTAGGCCAGTTTCAGACCGACATCCTCCGTGTACCGAACAATGGCAATCTCGTCGGGCGACGATGCCTGGTAATTAGTAACCTGGACACCATCCTCTTCGTCGGTAGTGGGGGTAACATTGTGGCAAAGCGCAAGAGCTAGGACGATATCTCGAACGCGCGAGCCTATCTCCCTTCGTGTGCGGGGTGCCGCCCCGGAGCCCGCTTGCGTTCCGAACACGGCTGATGGCGTGGTGAGGGAGTCTCCTGAGAAACTTTGCTTGATGTAAGAAGTCACCTCCTCCATCGCTTCATTGGCGTAAGACACGGTGCCCACATGGATTTTCTTGAGCTCCATTTCTGGATAGAGTCAGTAATCTGTCTCTTGTCATAGCAAAAGGTGACATACCATTTTGCGTCAGGGTACCTGTCTTGTCGGAAAGGAGGTATTCGATTCTACCCAGGTCTTCGGGGATGGTGCTTGTCCTCACGACCGTCCCAGGAATATCCTTGTCCTTTTCAATGAATCGGCCATAAACCGACTTCGCCATGTCCAGGTTGACCCGCAAACTCATCGGGATGATCGTCGAGAACAAGATCAGATAAATCATGATAGCGACATACCAGACCTTGTCATTGGTCGGTTGAAACCCTTCCAGCGCAACTAGAACTATTGAAAGGGCAAGTGTCAAAATACACAGAATCTTAGTCAAGTTGTTGATCTCATATTCCAGTAGTCCAACCTTCGATCGTGACGGAGAGGTTGACAGCGCAGCGCGCGTTTGCGACCCCGTATAGATGATAGCAGCGTAAGTAATGCTATTAGATGCAAGAACGGTATTGGCCCATGCGGTGTTGTCAATCGTCAAAGGGGCGGAGTTTGGCTGGGACTCTTGATCGTTCTGGTCTCGCTCGTGGTTGGATTTGTCCACGTGCGGGTCGTAAGAAGAGGATCCTAGCTCGATGGTACCGACAAACTCGTTAACCCGCCTATCTGGTGCGCTTGCAGTGATCTTGAGTCGGGTAAAGTTGCGAAGGGCCAGACTTTGAGACAGTGGGGAAGGCAGGCGTAACTTCCAATCTGTTTCTCCATCTAGTTGATCCGTACGTATAAAGGTGTCACAGGCCGAGGAATTGTTGGCTTCACTTGTCACGTCGCTTGTGCTGGGTTCATCTCCATGGTCGTCCAGAATCAAGTTCGAAGGTCGTTCCACGGCGGAACTTTGGCGAGCAGCAGTGTCATTAGAGAGACTCTGGAGAATCACTACGTCTGCAGGCAGGCGTTGATTCTTGCGAACCTTTAGGACATCGCCGACTTTCAGGTCCCTTGATCTCTTCGTCACTTCTAGAACACCTGCCGGCCCACTAAAGCTCAAGATGGTGAACTCCTCCGCATTCGCTTCGGCATCTCTGCGCCGGCGACCAATATCATCCAAAGCTTCCTTACCGAGCGAGATGGAAACGACAAAGGCGAGAGGTGCGATATACGAAGACATGTAACCGATTCGGAGCACAGGCAGGATTTGTGACAAGGCGACGAGGAGGAAATATATGTTGAAAAAGAAAGAGAATTCGTTGTAAAGGGTACGGGGCAGAAAGCTCCAGGGAGTGTATTTGGCGTTCGATACGATGTTTGGTGGGTATTTTAACCGCTGCGTTTGCCCGACGAACACATCGCGCGGGGGCTTGGTCTCGGTCGGATTCAGATCCTCTGCTGCTGGAGGGTGAGAGGAGCCGAACCAAGCGCCTGCAGCCTTGAGACCTGGAATCCATCGCCGTGGGCCCTTCTGCGACAACCGCTCCACATCCCTGAGAGAGCGAGCAGAGCTACGCCGGCGTGCGTGAAGCAGAGGGGCATCATCGTCGGTGTATGTGCGCGAACTGGCGTGCGACCTTCGGAGTCCGTCGTCATCGCGGTCTTGGTCCTCGAGCAATCCCTCTGTATCCTCCAACCGTCCATGCGTTCCAGAAGTGGTTCGCTTCCACCGGTTCCCAACTCCGACACGGAGGTTCCGCAGCGCTATGCCCGGACCACGACTCCTTTGCTGATTTTCTTCTTCCCTCGATAAACGATGTGCGCCATAAAGATGTGTCGTGCTTGGGTCGAGCTCCTCTAGGTCGAGATCGTCATCCGAACCAGAATCGCCTGCGATGGTGGACCGGCCGTAAGAATGGGGATACTCGGATAATGAGGGCATGACAGGCGAGACAGGGAAAGATTAATGGTGGCGTTCCATGCGAGAAAAGGGTTCCAGAAGCTGCTGTGAATTCAATAGTGTTCTCATGTCACAGTAGATCGCATGCAGGTTGAACCGAACAAAGCATCGCTGTTGTCGGGGTTTGGAGGAGGGGGGCGGGCTGTGTAGGTTGTGGCCGCGATTGCGACTGCGGATGCGGATGCGGATGCGCGCCAAATGTGGATAGGGTGGACGCAATTGCGAAAGCGAATTTAGGGTGGTCGGGGAGATTATTTCAGTGCTTTAGCCCACTCCTGAGATCGCCCCAGTTGACCATCGGGTGAAAGAACGGTTCTTGGGGGCTAGCTTAAACAATTATGGTGGCCTAAAGAGTCGAGAGGCTGTGATGGCAGGCGGAGAGCGGCCCGATCACATGACGACATGCCGAGTCGCCGACTCCACGCGCGGGTGTGGCTTATCAACCAAATGTTGCAGCATCCATGTCATTCAGTTTCCACTTCAACTTTCTTTGGCTTCATTTGTGTGCAATGGGAACCATACAGTCCTATATCTGTAAGTTACACAAGGAAAATCTCTGGTATAACCATTATTGTGGTATGATCACGGGCAATGTTGTCATTTTACGCCTGTAGGTGTATAGTCCCCTATCTTCTCCACTGCTCGTACTCGTAAGAAAGGGCATCTATTGAAAAGATATAGGTATATTGTCAATCATGTACCTCTCCAACTCATTATTGCATAGGATTGTGGGCAGTTTTGGACTTGTCTATAGCTGCTGCAAGCCCAATACCCAAGTGATAACTCACCAAATGCAAGCTTTCTCGCAAGCCTCGCTCCCACCTGCTCTGGTAAGGAGACTACATAAATGCGTAGTTACCACTTTTCCCGGAAGAAGCTCCAAAACATACAATTATTTATGTAGCCTTTCAAAGGTAAATACAAAACATTGAGACTGTAGAAAGTAAAGCCAGAGCTGCACACGTACTTCGCCTTCGTATTGTGTATATATGCCTGTCCGTTTATAGTTGTCCTTGGTATTACACAGACTTACTACTACGAAAGTAGTGCATCACTGGTCGCAGCGTAGCATAAACAGCATAAGAGCACGTGAACCCAAGAAACAGGTTAGGTGGCACTTCCGCGCGGCAGAACAATGTTCCGCCCCGGATGACGGGCGCGTTCCCAAGGACGGAGGTTCAATTGCTATCATCATAAGCAATCCAGAACGGCCGCAGCTCCGGACGGGACTCGAGAAAGGACTACGCAGCCACCTGAACATGCAGTCATGACTCCATTGTCTCCTTATCTTTTGTAATGTCTATGCAACTGCATAGCTCTCTTTCTTATTTTCTTTCTTCTCCCCGATTCATGTTCCATGCCGCTCAATATCTGACGACCCTTATCATACTAATCTGCTTGTCAGCCATCGAGGTATGTCCACACCCCCTGGCATTGGGAAGACTGAAGACAGGGACTCATGTCCATTTTTGACTTTCAAGTCTTTGAGAATTAGCGAAATCCAACATGGCACACACAAATTCAGCGGCCGTGTGGAATCCGGCTTTCAGGTCAGAAGACGATGTCCCTCGTGTGACGACACCCACCGAACTCGAGATCAACACCGCGATCGAAGCCACTAGCATCCCTCTTGGCTCGCCAATGGAAACTCCTCACGATGTGTCTTTTGGTGACGTACTTTCTTCGCCATCGAACTATGCCAACAATACACAAGAAGCAACTGCGCCCGATGTGGGCGTTCCCGAGTCTCCCGCGAACCGCGAACAAGCGCCAGCTCAGGACGAAGTGGTCGCAGAGCCACAGGTACACGACACATTTGAAGGACTGTCAACGGCTGATAAGGAGATTATCGAACCGTCGGAGGAGCCAATCAGTATGCACGGAGACACAGTGGAGAACCCTACCGGGGAACATGTCGGAGGCGCAGAAACAATGCCGAATTGGGAGGAAGAGGCGCAGAAACCTGCGGAAATCGTCAGTGACTTGGTAGAGTCAGGCAATATCACTCCCACCGGTCCCACCGGTACATTCCGGGGAGACGAGCTCCCGAATCCCAATGGAGAGATCCAGAGCAGCCACGATCTCTGGGGAAGCCCTGCTCAGGAGGAACAAGACGGCGATGATTTCTTCAATCAGCTCAAGACGCAAACAAAGCCCATATACTTCTCGCCCGAAACAGAGACGAGATTTGAGGAAGGCGTTCCGTTGCTGAATAGGGGCATTGATTCTCTAATTGAGCCTCCAGAGACGGTGGAAAGCCGAATCAATAACGTATTCAAGGCTGACGGAGATGAGGAAGATGATTTTTTCAAATCCGTGCCAGACTCAGCTTCTGAGCCAAGTCCTGAAGTTCATCTCACTCGAAAGAGCACGTCTCAAGTGTTGGATTCACTGGGTGTATCGGAGGAGCCAACGAACAATGCTGAGGAGCCGAGCGAGCAGGACCCTGACAGTGCTCCGGCTGCAGTGGGCTTAGAAGCGTCTCCAGTTGAGATTCCTGATCCAAGCGAGCAGGAACTTGAGAGCGCTTTGGCAGCAGCCGGTTCGCGCGTTCCAGTCGATACTGTTGATCCAAGTGAGCAGGAGTTTGAGAATGCTTTGGCAGCAGCCGGCTCGCAGGCTCCGGTGGATACTGTTGATCCTAGCGAGCAGGAGTTCGAGAGTGCTCTGGTAGCAGCCGGCTCGCAGGCTCCAGTTGATGCTGTTGATACTAGCGAGCAGGAGTTCGAGAGTGCTTTGGCAGCAGCCAGCTCTCAATTCCCAGTCAGCGCTGCCGATCCAAGCGAGCAGGAATTCGAGAGCGCTTTGGCTGTAGCTGGCTCCCCATTCCCTGCCAATCCCGCTGATCCGAATGAGGATGAATTTGAGAAGGCATTGGCTGCAGCAGGCTCACAGGACAAGATGAAAAAGAACTCGTCCGACGATAATCTGGCAGCGCGCTGGCAGGCAGAGCTCTCCGATGAAGACGCCGACGGTTTACCGTCGGAAGAAGACCTCGCAGCCCGATGGCAAGCAGAGCTGGACGACGATGATGACCTGCTTTTTGAAGACGAATCTGCTGGAGGAACTAAGCAGCCAAGTTTCGAAGAATTACTTGGGAACCCTGCTCCGGTTGCTCAAGCGGGGCCCAGTCCCCTTGCCCCACCAAACAACTCGGTCCGACCCAGAGCGCAGGAAAGGTCTTATGTCCCACACCAGCCATCAACATCGGATCTGCTCCAGGGAATCCCCGCAATGAGCCCCGGGGCTGGCTATTTTGCTCAACCACCCCGCCCGACTGAAGGAACAAAGAAAGCCGAGAGTTTCGCCGAACGTGCCAAGGAGGGTTATAGGTCACCTTATGATCTTCCTGAGGACCTTACGCGCCCTCGTCGACCGGTCATTACCAACAGAGCAGTCGTCTCGCAAACGGGCGTCCCGCCGCCGCCGCCGCGAAGCAACAGCCTTCCAGTACCTCCTCCGAAGGCGCCGGGTTCGGCATCTTCCATGCCCACACCTCCGGTTGGCGCGACATCGACTGCTACTGCACCTGCACCAAAGAACTTTTTTGAGGAACTTCCTTTACCGCCGCCTCGCGCACCTTCTCGGCCGGCAAGCACGGGCCGATACACACCTGCTCCCAATGCGGTGCCAGCAGCGCCATCGTACTCAGCGCCTCCGCCACCGGTTAATCCGTATGCTAGCGCTATCCCCGCTCCTCAGCCGACTGTCGACTCGCAGCCCCAGCCTCAATTACAACAACCTGAAAGAATAGACCCCTATGCGAGTTTGTTAAGCCCAAGCGCTCCTGGCGGCGCCGCTGCAGCTCCTGGTGCATCGAGATATTCGCCGAAGCCACCGAATTTGCAGAATGGAATCAAGCCACCAGTCTCCCCGAGATACTCTCCAGCTCCCCCACCATCTGGTGCTCCCCCGCCTCCTCGCAACCGCTATGCCTCTCAGGCTCCTAGCCACCCTGGTCAAGCTGTCACCCTTCCATTCCAACCCCGTACATCAAGCCCTCTGGCTCATCATGAGAAGGTCTCCTATCGTCCTCAGGAAGAGTTGGAAAAGCGACCGTCCTTAGATTATTCGGCACTCCCTCCTACCATCGACGTGCAATCTCATCCCGAGTCTGCCGTCAACCCGCTGTTCACACCTGGCGAAACTGCTATTGAAGCCACAATTACCGGTGTTGATCTAAGCGAAGAGAAAGCAAGCATGCAGCCGGTGTCTCCCCCGAGAAATCAGTATGCTCCGCCCGAATATGTTAACGAATTTGCTCAACGCATTACCCCAGCCGGCCAAGTCAACGCCCCGCCAGTCCCTGCGCCCGTTGTTGATGAGCCCCCCTTCATGCCTCCGCGTAGATCAATGACACAATCACCGGGCCAGCAAACCCTTGGCCCTCGATTATCTGTGCCATCAGTCGACCCTTTACAAAGACCTGCCTCAGCTCATGGCTCTGGCTCACCTACCAAATCCGTGAATCCTTACGCACCAGTCCAAGGTTCGATACATAACCGTGCCGCCTCTCAGCAATTGGACTTCATTCCTCCAACGGATGATCAGCAGTATGACCCTCTCGAACGCTGGAAGGGGGCGCCCATAGTCAAATTCGGCTTTGGTGGCACTGTTTTATCGTGTTTCCCCCAGCATATTCCTCGATATGCTGCTGGGCAAATGGCCCCTAGAATAAAACCAAGTCCTGGAGAGGTGAAAACATGCCAGCTCAACGACTGGATCCCGCCCCCGGAAAGCATTGTCCGCCACCCAGGTCCCCTCAAGTCCAAATCCAAGAAGAAGGATCTGCTTGCTTGGCTCTCAAGCAAGATAGCCGCATTCGAGAATGAAGGTATCCCAGAGAGTGCTCGACTCTTTCCTGATGGCCATAAGCGCTACGACGAGAAGGTTCTATTGTGGAAAGTTGTTCGCGCCATGGTTGAACATGATGGTACCCTCGAAGGCTCACCTGAGGTCCAGAAGTCCCTGCGCAGTATCATTCTCCCTCATCTACAAAGCAACGAGACAGACGACAGCTACGACACAGGCTTCCAGCCTATCAACAGTTCTCAGCCCGCCGATGCGCCTTCTCGCCCGGATGCAGCCAATCCTCAAGCTATTGGCACCCTCCGTAACAATCTTCTATTTGGGGAGCGCGAAAAGGCCGTCTGGGCGGCAGTGGATAGTCGCTTGTGGGGTCACGCGATGCTTTTAGCGTCGACTATGGATCGTTCGGTCTGGAAGCAGGTCGTTCAAGAATTCGTCAGACGTGAAGTCAGATCGACTTCCGGAAGCACCGAATCCTTGGCGGCTCTGTACGAGATTTTTGCCGGCAACGTCGAGGAGAGCGTTGATGAGCTGGTGCCGCCATCAGCAAGGGCTGGCTTGCAAATGGTCAGTAAAGTGGACGGACATGGGTCTGCCAGAAACGCGCTCGAAGGTCTGGAAAGTTGGCGCGAGACACTCGGCCTCGTACTAAGCAACCGCAGTGCGGAAGACCACCAAGCTCTCCTGGCCCTTGGACGGCTGCTCTCGAGCTACGGCCGCGTAGAGGCTGCGCACATTTGCTTTCTTTTCTCACGCGCTGCAGTGTTCGGCGGTGTCGATGATCCTCAAACGAGTATTGTCCTCTTAGGAGCTGATCATCAGCGATCTTCCACCTCTGCGCTGCAGGACGAAGACTGTATATTGCTCACCGAGGCCTATGACTATGCCAATTCCGTCCTCTCGGCCTCTCCGAAGCCACCGCTCTGTCATCTCTTGGCTTACAAGTTGGTCTATGCTTGGTGTCTCGCCGATCGTGGCCAAAAGACAGAAGCTCAGCAGTACTGTGATACCATTGCAGCAACCGTGAAAGCGACGACCAAGTCCTCGCCCTATCATAACCAGCAGCTGTACTATGGAGTTGACGAGCTTTCAGCAAGGTTGAAGCAGTCGACTAGCGACGGTGGCTCGTCATGGATTTCAAGGCCCAGCATGGAGAAGGTTTCTGGCTCAATGTGGGCCAAGTTCAATAGCTTCGTTGCCGGCGAAGACAACAATGCCACATCTACCGATCCTGCGAAGGGTGGTGAGGCAGATATAGGTCCATTTGCTAAATTAGCTGGCACGCCTACTGTGAGTCGCTCGCCTTCCGTGTCAGACATCTACGGAGGGCAACCGAGTCATGGCGCTGCTCCTTCACGTTATTTACCAAACAACCAATACGCCCCTACCTCCTCACCCGAGCAATTCCGCGGTAGATCGTCTCTTGACTCTCAGAGATCGTCTTCTTACAATTTTGGTCTTGCACAGCGACGGGGCTCGCAGGACCCTTCGACACCGGTTGACAATGGCCCATACCAAGGGGGAATGTTCTATAACTCTCCGCCATCAAACGCAGGCTATCAGCAAACACCTCCTCAAACTTCATATATGCCCCTGGCACCGGTCGAGGAAGATTTAGTCTCTCAGCCCCAGGCTAAGGCTCCGTTTGCTCCAGGACCTGGGTCCCCTAATATGGTCTCGCCCTACCAACCTCCTGGATATGGATCCTTTGGCCAGCTGCTCCATGAGACTCCTTCCGCCGTCTCTCAGGCAGATGAGGGTGGCTATATGCCTCCTATGGGCGGTGGCGGCTATGAGCCTCCCGCAGAGTCCAACGCCGCACCCGAGTCGGCAAATCCCGAGGAACAAGAAAATGAAGAGCCGGCTAAGAAAAAGAAGTCTTTCATGGATGACGATGATGACGATGATCTAGCTGCTCGAGCCGCTGCAGTTCAGAAAGCGGAGAAGGCACGCAAGGACCGAGAAGCAGATGAAGCCTTTCGAAAGGTCGCAGAGGCCGATGGTAAGTGACAATACAGCTCGATATCTCTTTTCCTTCGCCAAACTAACATTGTTGACATAGCCAAACGAGGTGCTCCCGCTAAAAAGGGATGGTTTGGTGGCTGGTTTGGTGGGAAGAAAGAAGGCGAGAATCCCGGCGGTGGCCCGATTCGAGCCAAGCTTGGCGAAGAGAGTTCCTTCTACTACGATACCGAGTTGAAGAAATGGGTCAACAAGAAAGATCCGAATAGCGCAACTGCAGCCCGTGCCACGCCGCCACCCCCACGTGGATCCGGGCCTCCCAGCCGGACGGCCAGCGGCAGCAGTGGTGCGCCGCCACCACCTGCGACAACTGCATCTCCGATGCTGTCCGGGGCCGGTAGCCGCCCTACATCTGCTGCAGGTGCCCCTCCTCCGCCCCTTTCCGGCAGCCCCGCCCCGCCATCCGCTCTAGGCGCTGCGCCTCCAATCCCACGGTCCATCTCGACGGGCGCCGCACTACCCACACCACCGAGCGCTGGTCTCGCCGCGCCTCCCCGGCCGGCGACGTCGTTGAGCAATGCCAGCTCCATCGATGACCTCCTCGGAGCGCCGCAGGCACGCAAAGGCCCTGCCGCTAAGGGCAAGAAGAAGGGACGTTATGTCGATGTCATGGCAAAATGATCGACCTACCCCTTCTTCCTCCCATTCCACTCGGCATGCGGACCTTAGTGGCCTATATATTGTACCCCTAATACCTCTTTTTTTTATATTTTCCTATAATGTCTAACGATTCCTCTTTGTTGGAACCCCCAGTTTAATATTACATGTCATCGGGAGCGTGTCCTGGCTTTGTCAGGGATAGTTCATCGGTTTGATTTGACGTTCGCTCAGCAAACAGCGTTGCATGCCGTCGAAACTTACTCTTTTCAAAATGGGGCTTTCCATTCTTGGCCCGGCGGCCCATCCTTTGCATGACTGGTTGATTTTCGTGTATATTACATGTGTGCACATATTGAATTTCCGTTTTTTTTTTTACTATGAGGATGTCCAATTCATCGCTTCACCTTAGCTAGGCGTATTGAGGATGATGGTTGTTCTGAGTATATGCCTAGCATTTCTCCGTGAGATGTTTGTTGCTGACAATGCACCATGGATTCTAGCATGGGATTTGGAAATTGTGCACTCTAATCGACCGATCTATATGCGTAGGGAACAAGGGTAGGCTTTATAGTACAGAGCAGGTATAACTAGGGAGTGATATTAAGATTTTAGGAGATTCGTGAAGCAACAATGTCGTGAGATAGATAGATCCGTGCGTGCCCGGATAATGGGAAAATCAAGCCGCATATGAATTGATGTAGTACTAGAGGCGATATGAATGATTAGCGACGTGTAAGTGCCAGTAGCTGTCTGGTTTTCAGCATCCTTACCGTCAGACACGAGTCCTCTTCATTGAATGTCCCAGGAAGGTAGACGTAGAGAATCAAGGCCGTCTCGTGAACGAAAGCTGGCACACAGAACCATTAGCACAGCCTCTCTTGTGGTACTAATGGGAGAGGGAGTCCGGGAAGCTACGTTCGACCATAAAATCCCGAATAGAAGGGGAAAGAAAGAAAAAAAAAGGGGAAAGGGGGAGGGGGTGAACGCACAAGCAACCACCCTTGGACTCAACCTCCCCACACTCAACACTTTCCCCCAGTCGCGCCCATCGATCCGCACACGCGCCCACCCGGCCTCGTCATCCCCGGGCACCGCGCGCATCCGCTCACTCGGCAACCGCTCGATCTCACCCTGGGACAGCTGGCCCGGGTCCAGCGAGGGGTTGACGAGGTCGGTCCACACGCTCGAGATGCGCAGGGCGTCCGTGGCGATCGCCAGCCGGAGGGCGCCGTGCATGTTGGCGGACAGCTCGAGTTTCGGGGCGGCGGCCGACGCGCCCGTCGCGGTGGGTTTCGTGGCGGCATCCGCCGCGGACGCAAACCCATGGCCCGGGGAGGCGAGCTTGGTGAACCGCTCGGAGATGCTCTTCAGTTGGCCGAGGCTCGGGAGGATGATGTGCACGTCTGGGTCGCGGCAGCGGGGTTCGTGGAGGCCCTCGACGGCGGACTCGTGGAAGACCTTCACGGGGATTTCTTGCGTGATCACGGTTTCGCGTTCGCGGCCGGGGCGGGAGGGCCCGTTGGGGGTGTCTGTCGTGGATGATGACGGCGGGGGCGCATGGGCCGGCCCGTTGGTGATAGTCGGAGGGTCATTGCTGCTGCTACTACTACCGCTGCCCGGACCAGTTCCGGTTCCGGTTCCAGGTGCGGTGGTGATGATGCCCAGTGCGTTGGACCCGGGCGCCCAGGATAGCGTGCGGATGGTCAGTGCCAGGAGCGGGATGCGGCCCTTCTGGGTGAGGCGGAGTTGGGCGGATTTGGCGTCGACGGCGGAGCGGAGCGCCCGGTGCAGGGCGCCGATCGGCACTTCTAGGTTGATGATTCCGCCTGAGTTGGATTCGAGGATGTAGCTTGATTCGTCGAAGATGGCGTCCTGGAGAGGTCCTTGTCAGTTTGGTTGTGTTCTGGAGATGAGATGAGTTTGAAAATAGCAACGGCTCGATTTGGTGGTGGGTGGTTAGTGAGTGGTGGTTGCTTGGTTGCTTGGTTCGGGGCGTACAATTGGTAATTGTGCCCATACTTGGGTGCCTTGGTCGGGGATAATGGTGAAGCGGATGTTGCCTGGCTCGAGGCGCATCCAGCAGGTCTTGCCCAGCGATGAGAGGGAGGCGGTTAGCTCTGTTGGAGTTGGTACGTGGTGTTAGTTATGTGGACTCGGTCATTGCGAACAGTGACCTGGTGGTTTGGTTGGTCTAGGCCTTCAGAGCTTCAAGGAAGGCTACCACCCGGAACGCCAAAACGCGGTAGATGGAGCAGCACGCGACAAGAGGCAATAAACGTACTGGAGAAAGTCTCCGCATTGGTGAGTTTAGTTCGGAAACGCATGGTGAAATATCTATTGCATGTTTGGGAAAAGCAGGTGGGTTTATTGTGTAGGCACACCAACAATTGATGTTGATGTTGATGTTGATGTTGAGCGCAAGGTAGTGGATGAATGCGATGATGTTATGGTGGTTGGTTGAGCTCGGCCGGCCGGTGTGGGGGATCCGCGAGGAGCAAACAGCGCAAATCCAACGGACCATCTATTGTTAGCATCCAGTATCTACGGAGTAGTTCACAATCTCATTCTCCCCACGCCTTCTGAAACATGTCACAGACTTCCCTCAATCAACGTGTCGCTTTCTACTTGGTCATTGCTTAATAGAAATAGATTCGATGGCTATTTCGCCTAACACAGCGGCGACCGCCACTTACTTCGATCCTTCTAGACAGTTGTTCGGCTAGGACGTGGCTGGCGCCTTGCAAGTTCCTCAATGACACAACATGATACATAACCCACTCCTCATTGCGATCCCGACAGAAACCACCCACGTGGCTGGCGGCACAATAGCACAATGGTTCTGTTCATCAGATGAGACGAGAAAGCTCCATGCCTTTTTCTAGGTCGGGGTCCTTGCTACTTCCCTTACAGACCTTAGTTTCTCGACTTTCAGTACTCAACCTTACTGGTATACTCCAGGGATACTGTACTGTACGTACCCTTCCTGCACTCCTTCGCGAAGGGGAGAACATCTCGACTGAGTATCCCTTTCATCAAGGGTTCACGATCCCTGATCTGGGGGTCGAGAAAAGCGAGCCAACACCTTGTCGCGACGAATCCTTTTTACTGCCCTGCAGTCTGGGAGTGTCTAATATCATCCTACCCATTCATTAACTTTTCAGTAGCCAACTAGTGCCCTTCTTTGCGAAGATACTCCCGTAGCAAGCGCAGCCTTGCTGATCGGAAGCCCACAATTGCCTACTCGGGGTATTGATCATAACACTTCTCTGGTCGCAAACACGGTAGAGTTCGATGGACATGCAAGAGATGTCGAAGTAATCTCCAATGCAGTCCATTGATAACAGTCAAAGCACCCAAGAGACTTCCATAATGCCAATCAACTCTAATAACAAAGGCAAAAGAGCTCGAACGGTCGCAGATATGAGATATGATATGCAAGGGGGTGTCGATCACCGATCTACTCTCCGAATGTTCTTCAACCCCAAGTGGTCCGAGAGAGCCGACAAGGGCAGCTTGTGGACAGCCGGAACACATCGCGGAAGCGACATTACCTCGCACAGCCACTTTTGATTGCACTTCATACTACTTGTGCACAGGCTTCCATGTATTGGGAGGGCTCCGGAAAGGGGAATGGGACAGTCTTGTCCGCCAGGTTCCGAAGGTGGATTACTGCTTACTGCATGGAGATGGGTCTCGTGTGCCAGAGACAGCAGTCATGTTGATTGTACAGGAAATTTACGGAGTGCCGGAGACTGTATGTCGTACAGGATGGTGTGCATCTGTTGTTGACAGATCCCATCCGACATAAGAAAAGGGGGGATGTTTTGTTTAAATAGAGGAGGTCGGGAGTGGAGGAAAGGAGAAACAGTATGGAGAAGTAGATACTGTACTCCAGTTAGTTAACTTAGACCCTAGCTAGACACACAAATATGAAGAATGGAGCTGTTTTCTACGGCAAGTCTAGGGCTTTTCTTGACGAGATACGGAGAGTTATTTTTATTACATTAGTAATAATAGGGCATATTTATGCCTGAGTAGATGGGAGTTGAGTGGGAGAGTGGCAGTGGCAGTGGCAGTGGCAGCATCGGAATTCACGAGAATAAATAGTTAAAGTACTCATTCTATTTTGCCCCTATTAATCCTGACGCGGCTCCACTCCCAGCATTCCCGTGTGTCGCGCGGCCAGCTAAGACTAGCTCACTAACTAATTGACGAGCTCCTCTCTCTCTCTCTCTCTCTCTCCAACCGCGCGCAAGTCTCCGTTCTCTCTTCCCCCCCCGTTCCACCCAGGCCAACACTCATTCTAACCAACTCACCACTGCATAACTCGCCCCCCTCCCTCCCCGATCTTCGAATCATCGTTGCCACTCCAGTCATTCTCTTGAGTCAAGAGCTGGTCTCCTGAGATCGATCATCGTCATCCCACTCTCGCTTTATCATTGTGCTTCCTGCAGCCGCCCAACTCTCAACTCTCCCTAACTTCCCTCTAAGCCTGTTTTTGGGCCCTGCAGTGTGATCTATCACCATTAACCACCAACACTATCACTAAGCATCATCCCATAGCTCGGCCTCTCTCTGCCTCTCTTGGCCTCCCTCTCTCGCCCCAGATCTCACTCTCCCCCTCTTGCACCTCTTCATTAATTTCCGCCCGATCTTAATCTTTCCTCTGGCCCTCATACATTCTTTTCACCATTGGGTGCATTATCTAAACAGCGTCGGCCTGATTCGGACTTTAATTCCTTCATTTCCCCTCCGCATCCTCCCGTCTATTACGACATCTCGACTCATCTCGAACCTCGAACCAGAAACTCAACCTGCTTCCCCTCCTCTTCTATAGACTTTGGCGGGATCGCGTCAGCATGCTTGCTCTTCAGCTATATTCTCTCTCTTCGACCTTCGACATTGCGACCCGACCTCCATCACTTAAACCTCACTACTGATCTTTTGCGACAACTCCGATCTGGTCCTCTCCCGGCGACTGCCGCTCTCTTCCGACATGGCCAGTAGTCGCGTCGCTCCCCTTCCCTCGCCAATCTACCACCGCAACCCACCGCGATCTCGATCTCCGGACCGACCGATCCCCGATTATGAACACACCGATCCCCTCCTCGGGAGTCTTTCACCCGAGTCCACTCTCCAAGCGCTCACCTCCACCAATGCCGTCCCCAAGAACGAACGAGCTGCCCATGATATCCTGTCCAGAAGTATCGCTCAGGTTTCCCCGGCGGAAAGAGCCCTCGCAATTCGCGCAGCAGTTGTCGCTCAAAAGTTGAATTTGTGGTACAAGGAAATCCAGTCATGGAATTGGCCGAAACAGACCGGTGATGAGAAAGGATTGGGCTTCATCCCTCCGTCCGATGCGACTGACGAGGAATACTACGGTAGCCTGCCTACCGCCATGGTAGAGGAACACGAGAAGCGCATTGACGAAATCCGAGATGAAATGGACCTGCTAGATATGGACGAGCTCAAGGAGCACGTTCTCAATGCCCACATCCCGGCCCGGTCTCGGCCCTCTTCGGCTAACAGTAGCTTATCCATCCCTCCTCAACTGTCTTACGTCCAATTGAGCGATTTCACTGCCGTCATCACCGCCACTATTCTTCGGGCCCTGCCTCTTTTATCGCGCCTAACGAGCTTGCTCTCGATCTGGGACGTTCGTCTGTTGGTTCTGCGACAGATTCCCGTCTTGCTTCGCAGCTTGCGCCTCGCCCGCTCTGAGCTGGAGGCTGCCTTGGATCTCTTAAAGTCTTCCCATCCTCCTAGCGAGAAGGACCCGTTGTTTTCCCGGTCCAACTATCATGCAAAGCGCTCCCAGTTGGAAGCCACGGTTGTGTCTGCTGGTCGAAGATTGGATTGTGTGCTTGACGCTTTGGACGAGTGCGAAGATTCTATTCCCGACAGCTGGATCGATGACCTCGAAGGAATCGAGGCGGAGTTTGGCTCTTGGACCATGCAAGCAGAACAACGCACCGTTGAAAACGAGTGGCAGCGCATGACACTCCTTTCGAAGACCAGCGCCAATCTCGACATAGAAAAGGACGTGTCTGAGCAATCGTCGACTGATTCTTCTCGCGGCGAGGACCAATCTCCAAACTCGTCTGCTCCCGTTTTACAGACATGTCACACTTTTCCAATGGAGACTATCGACGAAGAAGAACTCAATACTCCTGTCGAGGCCGCGCCTCCTTATCGAGCACCGACTAGCCAGGAAGATACGAGTGTGCAATCCGTTATCGAAGCGGCTCCCTCGAGCTTGGATCGCACGGCTTCACCTGCGCTTTCCGAAGCGATCAACATCCCTACTGAGCTTGTTTCTAGCAATGCGACTCCCAACGTCTCCCAAACTTCCATTGATTCAACATCTCGTCCTGTCACACTTGCCTCTTCTACGACCAGTGTCGAACAGGAGGAGAATGCTCATCCGTTTGGTACACAACTACCTTCCTCCCATGCCATGGTGAGCTCGGATGAGAAACCCCGCTTGCAACGCTCCGAGAGCCCTCTTGCCAACGAAATGCCTCATATTGAAGCAAACCGCGCGCAAGATACATCTATACGTCTCGACGTACAGCCGACCAATCCTGCTATGGAAGAGCAAAAGCCTCTAGCCTGCGAGGAGGTTCCTGTGGTCCAAAAAATCTATTCATACGCAAAGGAAACCGAGCGCGTCTCAGAGGAACCGGAGGATTTTCTACCAACCAGTGAACAAGACATGCCTCCGGCCGCAGAAGAGATTGGCCTTCCATGCCCTTCGCACAAATCTCCTAGTCTGACTCTCCCGGAAGATAGCCTGCAGCCACCGAGCAGCCCGCAGACAGACACCGGAAGCGTAATCATACGGCGACCAAAGAATCTATCCATGTCCCCCCGAGGGGTAGGCAGCCCCAGAATTGAAGAGGACTCTTCGCACACCACGAACTTGAAACCCTACGATCAACATTGTGAAAATCTACCGCCTTCATCGAATCTGGATGAAAAATCCGCATTGGCCAAACAGACTGGCCAGAATGACTCCGAGGTCCCGACAACAAAGCCACCCAGTTGTACAAGCTCGATTCCCGCCTTCAGCTCTGATTCCCCCGGAACTTCAGCAAAGTCGGTAGTTGCAAGCAGCGACGAAGAGCTCCCAGCCCGGACTTCTTCTCTGATGTTGAAGGAAGCGACGGAAGACCCGACTCCCAAAAAGCCTCTTGAAAGTCCGATCAAATTGTCCAACACTCGACCGGGTCCTTTGATCTTCGAGACAGAGCACGCAGACTCTCGTCACAGGCGCAGGTCGATTGCTTCTTCTCTCTCGGACTATCCTTCGCTTGTTTCAAGCCCCGAGAGGCGTGAGCCGCACGGATCCTCATCTAACGGAACTCCTTTACTTCTCGAAACTCCCCCACCCTTCCAGGCAGGCTACCAGTCATCTGATCCTGTAGCGCCTGGCAGCGACCATACGTTGCGAGAAGACCGCCTCTTCCGCCTTGACAGTCAGAAGGCTTCTCCGCATACGGATTTCGTTCACAACCGAAACCTCAGCCTTCCCTTGCAGCGCTTCATCAGTGAAAGGCTAGAGTTAACCTTTGGAAACGAGAGCGGCAGGGAACCTGAAAGCACTGCAACAACCGAAAGACCCACAGAAGTGTTTCCCAGCCTTCACTCTAGCCCGAGAAAATCCTCTTTACCGCCTCAAGCTGGTAAATCTTCGACCTCGACCAAAAGCACGCGACGTTCTGCCACTCAGTCACCCGAGGTCACTCGTGAAGGGAGCTTCAACCAGGGGACAGATGGCATCGCAAAGACGCTGCGTGAAGCTTGGGAGCATACTAAAAACGCTAGCTCAACAGCATCAGTCCAGAAGGTTCCGGCAGCGCCCCTGGAAAATTCGTCCACGATGCGTCTGAAGAGACAATTGACTTCACATCCTAGTCTCGAGAGCATCGGAGCGTACCGATCGGAGGCTCGATCTAACGATGAGTCTTCATCCATCCCAGCCTTCCTCAAGACTGCGTCGCGGACCTCAACCCCAACCCCGCAGATGAGAAAGCCCAAGGACCATTTGGATGAAAAGATTTCCTCTATCCTAACTGCCCTCGATGCGCAGATCCACCTCGTGTCCGCGGACACCCATGAGCACGATGGACATTCGACATCATCTTACCCACTGAAACAAAGGGAGCGCTTTCGCTCTGTCTCTCCTCACGGCTCGCCAGCTCGTAGTAGCACACCTACTCCATCGTTGACCATCACCCCCGCCGTTTCCCGCCGGCGCTATTCCCATGCGCACGCTCCAGAAGAGAGTTCCGTGAAGCTCTACCATCTGCACCGAGGTGGCAAGTCTGCCCCCACGAAGTTGTTCGTCCGGTCAGTGGGCGAGAACGGCGAGCGCGTCATGGTTCGCGTCGGTGGTGGGTGGGCAGATCTCGCAGAGTACCTGAGAGAATTCGCCGTCCATCACGGACGCCGACATGTTTCGGACACGCCTTTGGTAGAGGTGCAGGGGCTTTCCCGCACCTCGCCCCCGTCTCCACCTAGAAATAGATTGGCACCCACTGCCAGCGGACGGAGAACCCCGTCACGACCGCCCTCCGTCATCAGTAACCGGCCAGGGTCATCTTTGGCTGTTCGCAAAACCCGGCGGACCTCTAACGTGTCGGATATGACCGAGTTCCGCACATGCAACCCTGGCGACACGCTGAGCACTTCGTATTCACCCATGTCAACCGTATCCTCGCGCCGTCGACTGTCAACGTCGTCCAACGCCTCGATGGGCGCGTCCTCGGCAAGCGAGTTCCGGCATGGGTCTTCGTATTCGCCCACGAACACCGCCGCGGGCAGTGCCAGCCACACGGTTCCTCTCGGCCTTGCAGGGCCGCGTCCCAGGCACGTCTCGATCAGCGCCGAGAGCGAGGCATGGGTGGAAGACGTACTCGGACAAGCTCGAAGGAGCTCGTCCCTGCGGCCGTACACCTACGGCCTCGCGCCGCAAGAGCCAGAGCCCGCTCCCGAAAAGGCGCTCACTCCTCCCGTGATCTCGAAATCACGGAGTATCAGCGATCTGGGCACCGTCGGCTCCAGCCGACGCATCGCTCTGCGCGGACTTGGAAGACGTTAAGCTTCGCAAAGTTCACATTCCTTCATCTCATACCCTCGACATCCCACACCCGCCTTCCCACCTCTTTTTCCCTCTTGATTATCTGCTCTGCTCACTAGCACTGGCGTTGGCCGTTCATTACCCGGGTTTCTTGCATGTTGGATTCGGTTTGTCTCGTCATGAAAGAGACAGGTAAGGTGCATACAAAAAGTGATTTTGTTCGCAGCGAGCATTTTGCCTCCGTTCATTCCCCGGATGTCTTGATTTGCGTTTGCATTGGCTAGGCGAACAGGTCTCTTCCTTCTTTTACTTTTATTCACGTCTGTCTCATCAAGACACGACAACCTTTCATGTGACCTTCACAGCGCCCACTTTCAACCTGGTGCATCAGCGGAGGACTACCTTTTACTTCGATTCGTGTGATCTACTTGTACCTACTCACTGATTCTACTTTCCCCCTCGAGTGATCGAGGATCAATTTGATCTCAGGTGGGCGGGGTCCTGGTTGACCTGTCTGCCTGCCTATCTTTCAAATCTCACCTTGTGCGAGATATGATGTCTCAAAACCGATGTTCGGATCTAATCAATAAACATCAAGTGTTGAATCAATCGTCGATAATTCCCTTGTCTCGTAGCCCGTTCGAAAGACACCAAAGCCTAGCCTAGTTAGTGATCCTCTTCTAGTCATTGCCGGAATAGGACAAACTACGGATCTGCAAGTACAACTGGAAGATTCACTATACCGAATTAAAATAGCCGCCGCCTATGAGAGCTGTATAAATCAACCTATTGGCCCCACCCAGCAACAGCCTGCATCCTCCATCTGTTAGAACGGATCCTGAGGAGTGATTTCAGTACGCTTTCAAAGTATCATTTAGTGGGTCATTGAATTTGGATAAGGATCTGGAGAAGAGAAAATAACCACGAAGAATCCGGCTACCGCAATGCGATGTAAGCCGAGTGCTGCGCCACGAGGGCCATAAGACGGTCCGCAATAGCAATTGCGAATCCCTTGTCATTAAGATCTCGCCCATCAGATAACACCTTAACCTTCATGCTTTCCAGCCCGGATTGTAGAGTGTCGGCGAGGGCGGCATCAGCTTCAGCATCTGCAAATACAGCCCCGGCTGTCCCAATGCTACTTGTTCCTCCTCGAGGAAGCCACACCTCAACCATTTCTGGGGTCTGAGCAAACCGGCCTATTTTGTCAAGGATGAAACGTCCCACACTGCGGCATTCAGCTGCAGAGGTCCGCATTAAGGTCACATTTGGGTTATGAGCATGCAACTTGCGGTCGTGATATTGCCGTGGGACGGACTCCATCTGTCCAAAGTTCACTGTGTCCGTGGCCCCGATGGAGATGATGTTGGGGATTCCACGCCTTAGTGTTGCCTCCAGGCGGCTAGTATCGCAACTCATGCATCCGCCAGCCATCAAATCGCAGATTTCTGTTGTGGTGATGTCTAGGATGGCGTCTAAACGACCCTCACCCACCAAGCGTTCCATAGCCTTCCCTCCATGGCCAGTAGCATGGAACACGTAGACTTCGACGGGATAGTTGTTTTCTAGATGATGTCTCACGTGATCCACACACGGCGTGGTCACCCCGAACATCGTGACTCCGACTCGGACGATCTTATTCTCTTCGGCGTGCGCGCTTCGGCTCCGGGCCTCTCCCAGGCGGCACTCATACGACGACGCCATGCCGACAATTGCACCGGCAGCATTGCCCAGCACCTCGCGTAGTAGCCGGTTGGTGCCCGCGATGTCGACGACCGAATACATCAGGGTTATATCACATTCGCCCACCACGGGCCCTGTATCACCCGACGCGACTGTGCTGACGATGAGCTTGGGCAGGCCAATGGGCGTGGCCGACCTCATCACGGCTGAGATCAGACTGGTTCCTCCGCTGCCGCCCGCCCCGATAATCCCGTGGATTTCCCTCGTTTGCAGCAACTCGCCAACACACTTACTGACGCAGTCGATGAGAAGTTCGATTGCCTGGCCCCGCGACAGAGTCTGGATCGCGGGGCTGTGGCTCGCTGCATATTTTGATAGCAGATCGGCATGGCCGAAGGTGATGGCCTCATCCGTAGTGTCCTGTCGCCCACAGTCAATCAGGGTGATTTCCAGAGGTGTTGAAGAGCGCGCGGCATTCTGCTGCAACTGTCGATAGAGAAAGAGAACCTCTGTGCGCTTGGTATCGAGCGTTCCCAGAAGGATGATATGCGGCATATTAGACGATTGGAAACGGGTTTGTCTTCTGTCCTTTGCTCGGTATTTTAGTTCTGCAACGAGGTAGATAGTAGATAATAGATAATACCCGAGGTAGAGCTCTATGTCAGTCAGTGGCAACTCGTGGAAGAACCGCTTCATCCGCTCCGCTCCGTCTTCTCCGTCATCTCCGCTTCTCGGCCCATTCCACTCACCTCGGTTACATTCTCTACACCCTCTGCCAATTGTTTTTTTTTTGGCTAGTCCTCAGCAACTACGAGAACCCCCTAAAATAGTTACCGCCCTATCTATGTCTGCTCGTACTCAACGCCGGCGTCTTCCAATCTCCTGTGAGCCTTGTCGGGCTCGCAAAATCCGATGCTCCCGGAGTCACCCCCCTTGCGACACTTGCGTACGGCGGCGGATTCCACCGGAGCAATGCGTCTATACTACTATTACTAGCAGACAACCTCAGACATCTCAGACATCTCAGACATCTCAGACATCCTCGCAACAACGACATCCACCAGTTCGCCCACCTCCACCTCCGCCTCCACCTCCGCCTCCGCCTCCGCCTCCGCCACCAGGAAATGGCTCGGGCCACCACCCCAATAGCCCTGCTGTGCAAAGAGAATCCAATCCTGATCTCCTGGCTCGGCTGCAGAGACTGGAGCAGTTGCTGCAAATAGAAAACGGGGAGCAAGACCAAGCACCCCCTCTACCTGATGGTTCTGGTCCGGGTCCAGATTCAGGAAATCGGCAGGGATCATCAGCAGCTGGTGCTCTCATCCCCTCATCCACATCGGGACACGTGCGCTTTTTCCCCAATACTTCCGGTTGGCGCATTGTCCAGCGAGCTTCTCAACCGGGTCCATTCCCGAGCCGGGAACATGCCATCCCTGACACGCCCAGCGGACCTTATCCTTTTGGCGAAAATGATACTGAAAGTCGAGCCAATATTTCAGCAAAGCTTCCTCCTACGGACTATTGCGACCGGCTCAAGGAGGTCTATTTCCAGTCGTTTATCCCGGTAGGTTGTTCCCGAATCTCCGGGTGATCACTCTACATACATCACGATATGGCTGATGAAAAGGGATCCGTCTGACCCCAGCTCTTTCCTATTCTGCATGCCCCCACGTTTCATCATCGGTATCGGCAATTTTCCGAGAACCCAGACCAGGTCTCCCTAGCTTGGCTCGCTCTGCTATTCACCATTCTGGGCACCGCTGTTCTCGCGCTGGAACATGATGATCCTCTACTGAGGGCCCTCAGCCGCAAACCGACACCCTGGGGCCAAGTCACCGAGCTCTCGGAGCGGTATTACACCGCAGCCATGAAATGTCTCGAGGCGGATCGCTATCTGTGGCGACATAACATATGGACACTGCAGGCTCTGCTAAATCTTATATATGGAATCCATCATAGCCACGGTCAAACTTGGACTCTTCTGGGTCTTGCCTATCACCTAGCACTCTCGATTGGATGCCACGTGGACCCGGCCGTATTCTCTTTGGATATTGTTGAAGTCGAGGAGCGTCGCCGCTGTTGGTTAGCTCTGACGACACTGCTCTATCATCAAAATATGGCGATTACGGGTTTTGATCTCTATTCGTCTGTGCTCTCGTCCCATGTCCTTCCCCCCGCCGATGTGTGGGATGACGAAATCATCCAGGGAGGGCCAAGCTCAGCCGTGACATCGGTAGGTATCAAACCCGTCTCCTACTTGATTCGAAAGTCACGCCTCTTTCAATTATCCGCGAAGGTCTGCAACTCCACATACGGGGCAGGCTCAGATGACTCGACGGCGCTTCGCCGCCTGGATGCGATGATACGGGCCGAAATCGACCCCCTGGAGCAGAATTACGCCTCCAGGTCGGGAATCGACTCCTCGGTCGTCCGTGCTAATCTGCTACTCAGCTTCGCCCACCATCTGGTTCTCCTTCTCCACAGTACCATACTGAACGAGGTGTCGGTTTGTCCGCCGCAACAAAGCTGGTCGAAGCAATGCTGCCTGCAAAGCGCACAGCGCATCTTGGAACTCCATGCCGACTTCCACAAATCACCTCAATTCACGCCTTTTCACTGGTATATCCGGGGCCGGGGCGCTTTTCACGCTTTCCACGCCGCATTCATCCTGGTGTTGATCCTGTCCGTAGAGCCCCAGGAACCCTGTCCGTTGGATGCTGTGCTGCTGTTGCATAATTGCCATGCTCTGCTGGAGGCGTCAAAAGCACAGAGCCAACTGTGTACTCGCACCGCACGAATCCTTGGCCAGATGCTGTAAGGCGGCCTGTCGAATGCGATCATGCTGGACCATACCAGATGCTGACAGGACGGCTTCTAGATCAAGCAAGCGGTTGGGTGCTCCAGGGCTGGCGTCCGGTGAACCAGAAAGTGACTCACGCAACCTCGCCTCTCGGGGTGCCCAGTTAAATCCTCAGATCGACCTCGACCAGCCGATGGAGACCGGCGATGGCCGAGATTTGATATCGGTAGATTGTCCGGGTCTGTTGCGGCAGATTGAGCCGCAGCAATGGTTCAACCCCATGGACATGGATTGGGATCTGTGGGACTGGATTATGGCTGCATCTGGAACGACACCCTGACGCCTACCAACCGCTTTTGCGAAACCCCTCAGGATCCCTCATTAGCACTCTGCGGTTCTCATACGGTATGTATCATCTTTCGGAAGCAAGGAAGGACTTCAGGAGATGGGATCATAATTAAATCTAGCTATATAAGGCTATTCAAGAAGGACTAGCTAAGACTACTAGGATCGATAGTAAGCAGCAGTTAGCTACGACTCCACAACTACACTAATACACCCCCCCCCCTAGTATATATCTGATCTATGAACCAAACTATACATAAAGATTACTATAGTAAGTATCAAAAGCTCTAGTAGCGAAAACTAAAACGCGTAGTACAAACCTTAGTAAGAAACCTCAGTGAACAACTAATAGAAATATGATTACTCCAGAATTATTATTGTAACATCCAGGATTACAATATAAAATCGTTGATAAATCTAGCTATCTAAGACTGTCCAAGAGGAACTAGCTAAGATTACCGAGGTGGGCGGTAAGCGGCAGCCTGGCCTGGGCGAGGCCGCAACCTCTTGTTGTTACGTAAGCACACGAGTCTGATCAGTTAACTAACGTTCGTTAACCGTTGACCATTTACCAGACATGTGCGAATATAGGGCAGCCAACCCAACGGTTTCGCGCTCTGACTCCGACTCAAATTATCTTGCTTTCGATGACCAAACCCTGCCAGGGGGACTGTGCAGCCCATGGCTGCTGGGAAATCGGGAGGTGAAACCGCCGGCGTTCTACAACCGATGACACACGGCCGTCGGAAATTCGGATCTCAAATACGTTTCGGCCTCGAAGTGCAATGCATTAAGTTACTGCGTGCGTCGACGGGGGAGAAATTGCCAGGTTGAATAACTCG